CGGCTGAAGCCTTAAAATATCAGTCCAGCTTGGAGACGCTGAGCTACGAAACTACTTCAACGACAAAGTGGGTTACTTGACCTTAGTGAAAGGGTTGCTAGATCCCCAAAACTAGTACAAAGTGGGTTACCTGACCTTAGTGAAAGGGTTGCTAGATCCCTAAAACTAGTACAAGATTGAAGAGGGTTACCTAACCTCAAAGTGAAATAAGCTACAAATAAAGGAACACATTATCACAAGTAAAACAACGCAGAAACACCAAGGAGACAAAGAGAAGACCCGGACGAAATCTCTACGTCTTTTCTTGCCTTTGGAAAAGCAACACATTACTATTCCAAAGGACAAGTAAAGAGGGGCAGCTGTAGACACCCAATTTCGTTCGGGGCATACAAACAAGGAAATGGACCTCTGTTATTAAGGGAAGGAGCTCCCGAAGCAGGAAAACAATAAGATAGGACTTTAGAAGGCCCAAAAGCCCAAATAAACTAATTTTAGAACACTGGAACGGGTTGTTTCCAAAACTGGAACGGGCCGTTCCTAATTTGGAACGGGCCGTTCCGAGTTTCTAAAAGGGCCAAAAACCCTAATTTGGAACGGGTCGTTCCAAACTCTTCAAAAGAGGGCTAAAACTTTAACTGGAACGGGTCGTTCCCAAACTGGAACGGGCCGTTCCAAGTTATAAAAAGATCCTAAAGATCCTTGTTTGGAACGCCCGTTCCAGTTTACCAAAAGATGTGTTAATTTTATCTTCAGAATGGGCTGTTCCAATTTCAGAACGGGCCGTTCCAGTTACAAAATTAACACAGAATGGCCAGATCCAGAACGGGCCATTCTGATTTTGGAACGGGCCGTTCTGGACACTTTCTGAAGCCCACAAATAGACAGCTTGGGCTCATTTCTCAAGACTCCAAAATTTCGTCCAGACTCCTTAGGGGCTCAAAATTTCTCTCTTTTTCTCTCTCTTTCTCTCTTTTGTATTTCTTGAGATTTTGTGAGGCATTGTAGTGTGAAAGGTTGCCACAAAGCACCTAAATCTCCATATTTGAAGATTAATAGAGCTCGTTCAAGAGGTATTTCAACTAATTTTCTTCTCTCTCTTTTATTTCTTATTTTTGATAAATATTATTTATAATAAAAGCAATCATGTAGACATTTTAGGGTCAATTGTATAATTTAAATTTCAAGCATGTAAATAGTTATTAATAAAAGGGGATTTCATATTTATATTATTATTGTTTATAACGTTAACTTTATCATAGGGTACCAATTGAGGGCGTTGTAGGGGTGCTTAATACCTTCCTTACACGTAATCGTCCCCCGGACCCCCGAATCCAATTCTGGTTATCAAGGCCATTATTGGATTTTAAAAAACCTTTATTTTTTCAATGTTTTGAGTAAAACATTGGTGGCGACTCCATGAACTCATTTTTTTAAACCATTAATTAAGGATTAGCCTGGTGTCTAGGCATTCCTTAATTGATGAGACTTTCAAAAGGATGTCTAAACCATTAGTCGCGAGATCAAAAATTTTTCGGTTGCGACATGTGTGTGCTTTGTGCATGAGCTAATCTTTATCTAATCTGCTTAAGAGTAAGCATGATGATGAGTTTGAAGCTTAAGAAGTTATTTTGAGACATAAAACAAAGTTTTTGAAAACTGACTCAAAATAATCGATTATCATTAAATATAATCGATTATTCCAGCAACAGGAAGAAAGGATGCCTTGCTACAATAATCGATTATTTGTGAAATAATCGATTATCCTAGGAATCACTCTTTGGAATAATCGATTATCCTGCAAAATAATCGATAAAATTGTTCTTGGTTGATTTCCAGAAATCGTGAAGAACAAAATAATCGATTATTCTTTAAAATAATCGATTATCTGGTTCTGAAAAACTTATAAATAGTTTGCACATTTTGAAACTTCAGAAAAAAGATAGAACAGAGAATCAAAAAGAGAAAAACGTGATTGTGAATTCTTTGTGACCTTCTTGGAGTGTTTTCTTTGTGAAACCAAGAAGTAAAATGTTTATTGAAATTCTTTGAGAAAAGATCATCATTATCATCACATTCTTGAAAAGAGAAAGATTAAGATTTGCTTCTGAATTCCAGGTGAATTCGTTCCTTAATTTTTTTGTGAATAATTGTAAATCTTTAGTAGGTTTCTCAAGTGGTAAGGAATTCTTGTAGTTTGTTTCTACAAGGGGTGTTTTCTTGGGGTCAAGAAAGTGATTATCTTGAATGAAAGAGTGTATGCATGTGTGGTATGCTTGTAAAACTTCTTCATTAAGATAGTGGAACAAATCTTGATCAGGTTATGATTGAGGACTGGATGTAGGTCACATGTGGAGTGGCTGAACCAGGATAAAAGACTTGTGCAATCTTCTCTTAAGTGGTAAGGAATTCTTGTAGTGGGTTTCTACAAGGGGTGCTTTCTTGGAGTCAAGAAAGTGATTATCTTGAATGTAAGAGTGTATGCATGTGTGGTATGCTTGTAAAAATTCTTCATTAAGATAGTGGAACAAATCCTGATTAGGTTATGATTGAGGACTGGATGTAGGTCACATATGGAGTGGCTGAACCAGGATAAAAGACTTGGGCAATCTTCTCTTACCCTTAACTTTTACTTTGAGATTCTTTATTAACATGTTTGTATGTTCAACATTGTTTTAGACTAAATCAAAGTATTGCATATTGATTGCTCTTAACTTTAAATCTTATTAATGATTAATCAAGAAAGCATATAGGATTCATTCTTCATTAACAAGTCTTTAAGGAGCTTCTTTGAAAATTCATATTAGAAAAGTTTGAATTGAAATAAAGATCCTAAGAACTCTGAAAATTTTTAAAGTGTCATAGAATCCAATTCACCCCCCTCTTGGATTGAGCCATTCTTTTCTAACAGAGTCTACCTTTAGACCTTCTCTAATTTCATCTATCAAGCTATTAGTCACTCTCAAGGCTCCCAACTTAATACTCTTAGGGGTCAGCTCACACACTAAGCTCATATCTCTAAACTCCTCAATCATACGCAACTCCTTAATCATCAAAGAGGAAACTTTCAAAGATTTCCTACTTAAAGCGTCAGCTACAACATTAGCCATTCCAGGGTGGTAATTCAGTTGAAAGACATAATCCTTAAGGAACTCTAACCATCTCCTCTACCTCATATTCAATTCCTTTTGGTCAAACAAGTACTTAAGGCTTTTATGGTCACTAAAAACCTCAAATCTAGACCCAAACAAGTAATGTCACCATAACTTAAGAACAAATACTACTACAGCTAACTCAATGGGTAGGGTAGTTCTGTTCATGGGTTTTCAATTGCCTAGATGCATAAGCTATTACCTTTCCCTTCTGCATAAGCTCCCCTCCTAAACCCATCTTAGAGGCATCACAAAACACTACAAAGGTTTCACTAGAGTCAGGTAATACTAAAATAGGGGCACTAGTTAACCTCCTCTTAAGCTCCTGAAATTTCTCTTCACATTTAGAGTCCCACACAAAGGTTGGTTCTTCCTAGTCAATTTGGTCAAAGGTAAGGCTAATTTAGAAAAAACCTCTATAAACCTCCTATAATACCCAGCTAGTCCTAGAAAACTCCTAATCTCAAAAACTGACTTAGGTGTTTTCCACTCAAGTTTTGCTTCTACCTTAGAAGGATCTACAACTATCCCTCCCTCCGAGATCACATGCCCTAAAATGCTTACACTATTAAGCCAAAACTCACACTTAGAAAACTTAGCATACAACTACTTCTCCTTAAGGGTTTGAAGGACAATCCTAAGGTGCTCAGCATGCTCCTCCCTAGTCTCAGAATATACAAGGATGTCATCTATGAAGACTACTATAAACCTATCAAGATATGGGTGAAATATCCTATTCATATGATCCATGAATACTCCAGGCACATTATTCACACCAAAAGGCATAACTAAATATTCATAGTGCCTATAACGAGTCCTAAAAGAAGTCTTTGGGATATCCTCATATTTCACCCAAATTTGATGGTAACCTGATCTAAAATCTATCTTACTAAACACACAAGCCCCAACTAGTTGGTCCATAAGGTCATCTATTCTAGGCAAAGGATACTTATTCTTAATGGTCACTTTATTCAATTTTCTATAGTCTACGCACAAGCTCATGCTCCCATCATTCTTCTTAACCAATAAAACAGGCACTCCCCAAGGTAAGAAACTAGGCCTAATGAATTGTTTCTCCTAAAGCTCTTCTATTTGTTTCTTGAGTTCAGCTTACTACTTAGGGGACATTCTATAAGGTTCTATAAATATGGGTGCAGTGCCAGGTACTAAGTCTATGGAAAACTCAGTTTCTCTCTCAGGTGGTAAGCTAGACATGTCCTTAGGGAAAACTTCAGGAAACTCACTCACTAAGGGAATCTCACTAAGCTCATGGCCTTTCTCAAGTGTCAAACAGGCGAGAATCATGTAAACCTTTTTGTTTTCCTTTAAACAAGTTTTTATTTTATTAGCACTTAAAAACTCCGCACACTTACTCTCAACAAAGGATATGGATTTTTCAAAGAAACTTAGTAGGACATGATTGGAAGATAACCAGTCCATTCCAAGAATGATATCTAGTTGACTAAGAGGCAAACAGATAAGGTCAACCAGAAATTGCCTTTCAAAAATAACAATTGGACATTTAAGACCACCACTAGAGGTAGTTATGGGACCATCTGTGGGGGTTTCTACAACTAGATCATAGCTCAAATAAGACACTGAAAATTTCAATTTTTGGACACAGGCAAGAGAAATGAAAGAATGAGTTGCACCAGAATTGAACAATACAACAAAAGGATTCTTAGCTATGAAACAAATACCTTGTATTAGATTATCTGACTAAGCAGCTTCGGCACCACTAAGAGCAAATACTCTTCCAGTAGTCTTCGGAAGCTTAGGTTGAGAACTAGCTCTTGTTCCCATCATGCGTTGCCTTGGCGGTTGTGGACACTGAGTACTAATATGACCTTTTCAATTATAGTTAAAGCAAGTTATTTCCTTGTCAGGATAGTTATAGTGCTCATGCCCATGTTGCCCACATTTCTTGCATCGACTAATAGGTGTAGAAACAGAGCCTCCTACACTAGCAACAACAAATCTACTTCTAACATGATTTCCTTGAAACTTGGCAGTAGCAAAGTAAGGTTTACTCCTACCCGGAGCACTAAAATTCGCAGCACGCATAGGACCTCCAGCTCCCTTGTAGAAAGCAGCACGTGCACGGTTGTCATGGTCATAGATTCTACTCTTGTTGACAAGCATCGAGTAGTGATAAATCTCTTGATAATCGACTGCTGTCTTTACCTCAGGACGAAGGCCATTCACAAACTTAATGCACTTAGCTCTTTCACCACCCTCACCATGGTAGTGAGTACAATAGTGAACCAAAGCATCAAATTTTGGAGCATACTCTGCCACTGTATCATTCCCTTGCTTCAGCTCGAGGAGTTCCACTTCCTTCTGACTCCTCACATCATCCGGGAAATACTTCTCAAGGAAGACCCTCTTGAAGTTGTCCCAATTCAACTGCACTCCTCCATCAATCATCCTCTAAAGTGCTCCTTCCCACCAAAAATGGGCATCAGCAATCAACATGAAGGTAGCCAACCTCACCTTCTGAGCGAGAGGACACTCTATGGCATTAAAAATCTTCTCGATCTCCATTAGCCAATTCATCACAGCATCTAGGTCATATCCTCCTT